CATGGGGTTGGCAACCAATATCACAAAACAATATGTGTATTAATGGTTTAATGAGAAACTAGTTTGCTGTGTAAACCTTTATCTAAAAATTAAAAAAAAAAAAAAAAGTGTGTCAACTTGGCTAGGCCGTAATTCCCAGTACTGTCTGATTGTCCATAATTTGGTCATCTGATCTCATTTTCCTATGTGTTGTAAACCCTATCCCTATGATGTTAATGAGACAGGATTAGAGGGAGTTAATATTAACGAGGCAGGACTCAACTACAAGATTAGGTTGTATCTTGAGTCAATGTCTTTTCAGATATAAAAGACAGAAGCGAGCAGAGAGATAAGGGGACCTCATAGCACCAAGCAAGAAGACCCAAGAGCAGCACATCCTTTGGACCTAGGGTCCCTGCACTGAGCAGCTCCTAGACCAGAGGGAAGACTGATGACAAGGACCTTCCCCCAGAGCCAACAGAGACAGAAGGCCTTCCCCTGAAGCTGGCACCCTGAATTCGGACTCCTAGTCTCCTAGACTGTGAGAGAATAATTTTGTTAAAGCCATCCACTTGTGGTATTTCTGTTAGAGCTGCACTAGATAACTAAGACAGGGGTGGTAGAGTGAAGTCAGTCTGGGACTAAAGAGGCATTCAAACATAGATTATTCTGTGATAATATACAGTGACCAACAGTTGACAGCATTCTAATTAGCAAAACTAACACTGGAAGTATCTTTTGGGAACCGAAGTTGGCAAGAGTTGGAAATTTTCCTCAAAAGAAGCTTATTTACATTTGGAAATGCAAATAATAACCTGGACACTTGGTGATATTAATCCCTGGGTGGTGCAAATGGTTAATGCACTCAGATGATAACTGAAAGGCTGGCAGTTTGAATCCACTCAGAAGTGCCTCAGAAGAAAGGCCTGGCAATCTACTTCCAAAAGACCACAGCCACTGAAAACCCCATGGAGCCCAGTTCTACTCTAAAACACGTGGTGTCATCATGAGTTGGAACTGACTCAACAGCAAGTGGCTTGTTGTTTTTTTGGTGATATTAAGAAATTATTTTTTTTAGGTGTGATAATGATACATGCCTGGTGACAAAAATGGTTAAGTACTTGGCTGTTAGCCGAAAGGTTGGCAGTCTGAACTCACTCAGTGGCTCCACACAAGAAAGACTTGTTGATCTGCTTCCATAAAGATTACAGCTAAGAAAACCCTATGGGCCAGTTCTACTCTGTCACATGGGGTCTCTATGAGTTGGAATCAACTGGATGGCACACAACAACAATCTTTATCTTTTAGAGATACATACTGAATATTTACAGATAAAATATGATGTCTGGGAATTGCTTCAAAATAATATGGAAGGGTTGTACATGAGCATAGATGGAACAAGATAAGCCATGAGCTGGTAACTGTTAATGCTAGGTGATGAGTCCATGGGGATTAATTACACTCTTCTACTTTCATACATTTAAATTTTTCCATAATGAAAAGTTAAAAAAGAAAAGACAATTCATGTAAAACAAATACAGCTACTGTGGGAAAAAAATAAACTATACACATGCCTTTCGCATTTGAAGAGAACACAACTAAACCCAAAACAAATACAGATAAAGAAAAAACAAACATTTAAAAGAACATCCTTTCTTAGCCTGATCAAATCTAAAATACTACTAGTGATTAATGTGCCATACCTGGAAATTTACCTATATAAAGTCAATAATCATTTATTTAGTATCTACGATAAAACACTGTACTAAGATTGGAGGGTAAAGGAATGATCAAAAGTTTAAACTAGGTTTTAAGAGGTGTCAGATAGATTGGCAGGGAGGCAGAACAATATCACGTGCCGGGCAAAAGGTGGGATGTAATTGTGAGATGGACAATCACCAAAACAGAATGAGAAATGGGGCAGGTTAAGATAGAAGCCAGTTAGAAGGCTTTCGATATTGGTGTGGAATTAAACAGTCATCAGTCTCCACCAGACTACCCTTAATATCCCATATCTGTCAATAATAGCACCACTCCTTGAATTACCCATTACTCCAGTATAGTAAGTAACCTAATACTTTTCTCTTCTTCCTTTGAAATACCTCCCCTATTCTTGTCATTTCTGTTCTCATGGCTATCTCCTGAGACCAGGTAGGTTTTCATCACTTGATGCTTATCTTACGAAAACTCCTTCTCCATTTATGTCCTTGCTTATAATCTCTCACCTTTCTAACATTCCTGGGAACAATCACTAGATGAACTTTCCTAAAATGGTGCTCTTTCAACATACTGTTCTTCAGCTCAAGAATCTTCAATGATTACTGCTGGAATATCAAATGCAAATTCACCAGCCTGACATTCAGGCCTTCTTAGTACTGGCCCCAATTTATCTATTCAATTTATCTCTTACCAAGCCCTAACCCTCAATATGAAATCTTCACCACTTGAACCATTCCCAGCGTGCCTTTGCTAAAGGTAGTGTTACCATTAATCCGATTTGGCCCTCACATCTGGGCTCACTCGCTCTTCCTACTCAGAAATGACTTATCCAGCTCAAATCTTTTTTTTTTTTTTAATTGTTGTACTTTAAATGAAAGTTTACAATTCAGGTTAGTCTTTCATACAAAAATTTATACATACATTGTTATGTGACCCTAATTGCTCTCCCTATACTGTGACAGCACACTCCTCCTTTCCAACCCTGATTTCTTGTGTCCATTTGACCAGCTCCTGAGCCTCTCTGCCTTCTCATCTCACCTCCAGACAGATGCTGCCCATTCCAGCTCAAATCTTACCTCTCTCTACTTTGAAGTACATACCAGATAAAACAGCTTCTCAAACTTTAATATGTACATGAATCACCTGGGGACGCTGTTAACATGCAGGCTCTCATTCAGTAGTTGTGGGATGGGGCCTGAGATCCCGCACTTCTAACAACGTTTCCAGGTGACGCTGATGCTGCTGGTCTGTAGATCACACTCTCGTACCAAAATATTCTGGCATTTCTGGCTTTATAATCTAATTTGCCTCCTGGGAGGCGAGCATAATGAGGAGACTTCCTTTTCAACGTACCTTGAGCCCTTTTAGAAATGTGTACCCTGTTTGTGAATCACCTATTCAAAAGGTAGATATAAAAATTGTTTGCAAAAACTTAAACAACTGCCAGCGTGACTCAACAAGTTACTCAACTTTGTCCAGTGAAGAAAAAGACTACACTGGTGAACCAGAGCTTTTATTTCCTTCTTAACATTCTGTGAGCAATTCTTTTAAAAAACTAGAAACTCATTCTTGGTTATCCAAACCACCTCCACCCAGTGAGTCAGCTACTAAAAGGAGTGGATCTCACTATAAAGTCTCATAAATGGCATAAAGCCCAGGAACACTAGAAGTCCATAACACATTTCTGATGAAACAAACACGAATCAGGAAGGGTAACTGAAGTAGGCCAAAGGCAGATACTACAATTTTCCAAAATCATCCTCTAGTTCCAGAAGGGGCATTTAAATCAACCAGCTAGGGCCCCTGAATAAATAACCTAGAGACATGGCTAGCACTCTGCATAGACAAGGGTAGGCAGCCATCACGGGGTGGGGAATGAGGGACAGTGTACCGTGGCCAAAATTACCTTTTCTACCTCCTATCCTACCTAGTGGAAACCCTGGTAGCAAAGTGGTTAAGAGCTATGTTGCTAACCAAAACGTCAGCAGTTCAAACTCACCAAGCGCCCCACGGAAACTATGGGGCAGTTCTAGAGGGTCACTATGTGTCAGAATCGACTCCACAACGAGTTTGGTTTTGGGTTTTTTTATCCTATCTAGCAGAAATCCAGGTGGCATAGTGGTTAAGAGCTATGGCTGCTAACCAAAACGTCGGCAATTCGAATCCACAAGGCGCTCCTTGTAAACCCTATGGGGTAGTTCTACCCTGTCCTATAGGGTCGCTATGAGTCAGAATTGACTCCACGGCAACGTGTTTGGCTTTTGGTATCCTATCTAGTGCCTGGAGCCATAGCGGCGAAGTCGTTAAGAGTTCAGGCTGCTAACCAAAGGGTACGCAGTTCGAATCCACCAGCCGCTCCTTGGAAACCCTACCGGGCCGTTCTACCCTGTCGGAATTCACTCCAAGACAGTGTGGACTTGGTTTTTTTTAATTTAGTGCTTGAAACGCTTTTCTTACCAGAGAGGTAATTCATTACTCATTAATTAAGGCACATTACTTTATCAGGTTAGCTCCCTATCAGCTAGCTGGCAGAAAGCAGAGAGTTTAAAGGCAGTCAGAAGATGTGGCGCCTTCTTTTCACTTCTATCATTTTGCGGTGGACATCAGCCACCTGAACCATCAGCCCCATCTCCTTCTGGTTTCCTGGTTTCCTTCACTGAGAAATGTTCGCACAGGATGGGCGGATAGCAGCACACTTGTGCTGCTGTTAGTAAATAGGAATCTGGAATGCAATTCTGACTCATTATAAACCTGATCCAGCGTACAATTTCAGGTTTACGCATGCTGTCTTAGAGTTCACTACGCACAATACAAATTTCCCAAGTTTCCCTAAATTTGCTGTGTCACCGGAAAGTCTATTCACCAAGGAGATTTAGCTTGCGGCGCTGCTCGTTGGTTTCCCTACCCAGCCTTCCTGGAGGTCAGTCCAGCAAGACCACCCCCTGGCGTCAGACCCTCCACCTGTGGTCACCAGCCTGAGGGCGGGGTGTCACTGCTCGCTCTGATCTCCCGACGGCCGAGTGGCAGAGAGGACAAACAGGACTTCCTCTTCGTCCCGCACGCCGGGCCGGCCGCCACCCCTCTACTACCCTACTATCCTGTCCCAAGTCGCCCCCGCCCGGAAGCCCAGGTCCCGTGACGCGCACACCGAATCGCCCGCAACTCGGCGCGCCCGCACGGCCCTCCGCCGCGCCCTGACCGTTAAACTCCCATCTCCGGGAAGGCAGGCGCCAGAGCGGGCCCCGGGCGGGGTGACCGAGGGGGGCGAGAGGGTGCGAAGGGTAGCGGACCCCGTTCCTCACCTGACTCCGTGGCAGCCACACCACAGAACAGCCGGATCACCAGCAAGATGGAGCCGGGGGCGGGCCGGCGGAGGGCGGGGCGAAGGGGAGCGCCGTCTCAGCCCGTTCGGACGCGGCGGTAGTGGGGAACGCCCCTAAAGCAGGCGGGGCGGCGCGGGCAGGGCCAACCTGGGCCCGGGCAGTGGAGACCCCGGCTGAGGCCGTTGACACGGATATGTTCCGCAGCTCCGCCTGCGGGAGAAGACGTTTCCTTCGGCTGGCCCGGCGGGTTTTATCGCATTTCTCGGTCCCAAGGACCCCACTCTAACACTTCTGGCCTCTCTCAAGATATATTTAGCAAGTTGCAGCGGCTCTGGGGGAATCCCAAAGCCCCCTCAGTGGTGGATAGCAGAGAGGAGCTGAGACTGAGAGGCCGCGTGCAGCCACTCCGCTTCTGAAATGCCCTGCCCTCATCGTAACTTCTAAGGATAGGGGCGGTGACTTTTATTAGTCCCCTGTGAAATGAATATTTATTGGAGATCCTAGACAGTCAGAACTCAAGAATGAACTAATCAAAACCACTCCAGAAGGGAGTTGTTAGATGATTCTAGGCTCCCCTCATGCACCATCCTGGGAACCCTAACGTCTGACACACACACACTGATATTAAACATCTGAGGCAATTTCAAGGGCTCAGACCAATATCTTAAACTCATTAAGAAAGTTTGCATTCCAGAGCAAAAATCAGCCAGCTACCTTTTACACTGGTTCTCAAAGTGTGGTCCCCAGATCAGCGGCATCTGCATTACCTGGGAACTTGTTAGAAATGCAGATTCTTTTATTCCACTTTAGATCTACTGAATCATAAACTCTGGGGGTGATTCCCCATAATCTGTTTTTTAACAAGCCCTGCCAGTCGTTCTGATGCACACTAAAGTTTGAGAACCATCAACCCATTATTACTCTAATGCTTTTCTATGCAAAAGCCTGCTCAGGATAGTGGCATCCAAAATAAAATAGCAGATGACTTTCCAGTAGAAGAAAAGGCACTAGAACTACCTGACAGGGAATTCAAATCTCTAATATTCAGAGCTATCCAAGAGTTGAAGCAAAAAGCAGACAAAAATGAGGAAAAATTAGACAAATTCATGGAAAAGGCAGACAAATTCATGGAAAATACAGACCAAAAAATGGAACAAGTCAGGAAAATAATACAGGAACAAAATGCCAAAATAAATTCACAACTAGAAATAATACAAAAACAACAATTAGAAATCTAAAAGATAAACAAGATTTCAGAAATGGACAGTGTCAGAGAAGGGCTGAGGAACAGGTTTGAAATGACGGAAGACAAGATCCGCGAAACTGAAGACAAACACTTGGATACCACTTTGTTACAGGAAAAATCAGAAAAAAACAACAAAAAAAAAGAAGAAGAAGAAGAAGAAACCCTGAGAATTATGTGGGATGCAATTAAAAGCAAAAATCTGCAAGTGATCGGAGTTCAAGAACAGGGAGAGAAAGCGGAAAACACAAGATCATTGAAGAACTGCTGACAGAAAACTTAATATTACGAAAGATGAAAAGCTGACCATACAAGAAGCTCCGTGAACCCCGCATAGGATAGACCCCAAAAGAAAATCACCAAGGCATATCATAATCACACTCGCTAAAACTAAAGACAAAGAAAGAATCCTGAGAGCAGCTTGAGAAAAATGAAAAGTCACGTATAGAGGGGAAACAAGACTAAGCTCTGATTACTCAGCAGAAACCATGCAGGCAAGAAGGCAATGGGATGACATATATAAAACCTTGAAAGAAAAAAGTTGACAACCAAGAATAATATATCCTATAAAGCTCTTGTTCAAATATGATAGTGAAATTATGACATTTCCAGATAAACAGAAATTAAGGCAATATATAAAAACCAAACCAAACTTACAAGAATTATTAAAGAGAATCCTTCAGTTTGAGAACAAACAACATCAGACAACAGCCTCAATCTACGATGCAAGATCCTAGATACCAACCTAGGAAATGAACTCTCAAGGACTATTCAAAACCAAAAGATTTACAACAGGGAAGCAGAGAGGTTAATCTGGAAATGACAACACCTACAGAACAATGAAAGAGGGAATAAATGGAGTAGGTGTAGACCTTTATAATGGAGAGGAAGGCAAGGCGATACCAAGTAATAATAGACTGCTTCAAACCCAGGAAGATAAAGGTGAATTTCAAGGTAACCACAAAGAAAGTTAACAAACCTACTCATCAAAATGAAGAAAAACATAAAAGTCTCAGTAAAAGCAAAATCTACAAAAACAAAAGAAATGAAAAAAAATCCACAAACAAAAGGAATTCAGCACAGGAGAGTAAGAGGAACAAAGAAATTATCAGCACCACAGGAAAAAAAAAAAGGAAAGCACTACAAAATGACAGCAATAAACTCACACTTATCAATAAAGGAAAGCACTACAAAATGACAGCAATAAACTCACACTTATCAATAAAGGAAAGCACTACAAAATGACAGCAATAAACTCACACATAAATAATTACACTGAAAGTAAGTTCCCTAAATGTACCCATAAAGAGGCAGAGAGCGGCAGAATGGATAAAAAAAACAGGATCCATCTATATGCTGTCTACAAGAGACACACCTTAGAAACAAAGATGGAAATTTATTAAAAATCAAAGGATGGAAAAAATATATCAAGCAAACAGCCACCAAAAATGATCAGGAGTGGCAATACTAACTTCAGATAAAATAGACTTTAAAACAAAGTCCACCATAAAAGACAAAGAAGGGTGCTATATCATGATTAAAGGGACAATCCGTCATGACGACATAACCATAAGAAATATCTACGCACCCAATGACAGGGCTCCAAAGTACATAAAACAATCTCTAACAGCACTGAAAAGAAAAATCGATGGTTCCACAGTAATAGTAGGAGACTTCAACACACCACTCTTGGTAATGGACAGAACGTCTAGAAAGAAACAACAAAAATACAGAAGATCTAAAGACCAAGTCAGCCAACTTGACCTCACAGATATATACGGAAGACTCCACCCAATACTTGCAAAGTACACATTCACTTCCAACGCACATTCTCCAGAATAGACCACATCTTAGGCCACAAAGCAACCCTCAACAAAATCCAAAACAATGAGATAATACAAAGTATATTCTATGATCACAACACCATCAAAGCAGAAACAAACAACAGGAAGAGCAAGGGAAAAAAATCAATTACATGGAAACTGAATACACTGCGCTTAAAAACCACTGGGTAACAGAAGAAATCAAAGATGGAATCAAAAAATTCCTAGAATCAAATGAGAGTGAAAACACATCATATCAAAACCTTTGGGACACAGCAAAGGCAGTGCTCAGAGGTCAATTTACAACAATAGATGCACACATCAAAAACGAAGAAAGGGAGACTTCCGGTAAAATGGCGCTCTAGGCAGAAGCACTATGCCATCCCTCCACAGCAAAGATCCGAAAAACTAAGCCGAACAGAGAAAACAACAATCCTGAAACCCTAAAACATCAAATAAAGAGATAAAGAACTCAGCCAAGCACCAAATGGAGTGAGAAAACTGACAGAGAACAGAGACAGAGGAGAGATTCATGCAGAGGTCCCCTATCAGC